AACTAAACTTAAACCTAATACTATTACTAATAGAGAGAGAAAGAAAGATAAGAAATGATTAGAAAAGTCTACCAATAGTGAGTCGGTGAGTCCTGATACTTAGGTAGATAATAACGTTGGTCACTTTGTGCACAGCGAATTGAAAATCCATTAGCATGAGGGTTTTTTCAATATAATTATTATCGAACACGTTCCTTGGATCTCTCCGGAACAGCTATCCCAATTAATTCTTGTCTCCATTCCTACTTGATCTCCCTTGGCTTGTTCTCTCTTTTCCCTAAGGCTTATGCATGGTCCTCCTCCACTCTTGCTTGACCTTTCTCCTTGGTGGCGAACCCAAAAGTGCTTTTCTTCTCTCACCACGTGTCTCACCCTACCCTCAAGCATGGTCCCCTTTTCGTCCCTTTGTCAATTGGTTAATCAGGATCCCAAAATATTGAAATTCCTGCCATGTGACAGAAAAGGATTAAAAGTGAAAGGAAGAAAAATTATAGGAATGCTATTTGTTTAATTATTGTACAATATAATGAATAAATATCTAATTATTCTTAATATAATGTTTTACTATATTGCCCTCAGAAAATTGAAAATCACCCCCCAAAATATAAATTGTTACTAATCGCCCCAACATGGAAAAATCGCCCACCTGGGAGCGATATCGCCCCCTGTTGAGAAACACTGTTTTACTACTTCCATTAAAATTTATACATAAAAATTATTTTATTTAAGGACAGCTCAAAACAAAATTTCCAGATAATTCTAAATTCTTCTTAGAAATCCTTTATGTCCTCAAAATGTTAAAATGAAATTACTATAAAAAAACTTTAAAATGTTTTTCAATATGAAATTTTTTTACAAAAAATTGAGTTTCTATGTGCATTTTATAATTTTAGAGAAGGGAGACTCTTCATTTGTATATAAACATCTTTCCAATGTAACTGGTTAATTTGACAAAATCTGTGGCTCACATAACAATCATTAAAATTATTTAGTTAAATAATTATAGTTTTAAAGATAAAATTCAGATTATTGTGTACAAAATATACAAACAAATTTCTTACTATATAATATTCTTGTGGATCAAGAGCAACACTTAAAATAGGTGCTTCATGTCCTTCAAATATATTTTGTGCACTATTAGTTGTATCTACAGCTTTAATTATGAAATCTCTAAAAGAAAAAAATTAATAAAAATCAAAACCATATAACAGTTTTAATTCATTCTATTATAATAAATTTCTCAAAGATTCAAAAACAATATAATTGAAAAATGATAAAAACTAATTTATAAAAAAAATCTTGAATGACTTTCTAAAAGCTGGAAGTATTATTTGCATGAATTATATAAAATTAAAATAACTTTAAAAATGATATGTAAACGTATATAAGTTAATACATTAAAATCAGCAACTGCTAGCTAGTAGAATCAAAATTAATTAAATATATAAATAAATGTTTTCATAACAATTTTGATTTTTGTATATTTATATTTAATTAGTCAGAATGTAGCCCAATAATAAATCTGGTTTGATTATTTGAATAGCAATTTTAATTCTTGTACATATAAATATTGTATATAAGCATACCCTGCTCCAGCTAAAAGAATTTTTCCATTGGTGCTACAATATATACTGTTTATTTGAGATGCAAATCTTGTAATAATACCATCTGGATTCATACTTGGAAAACTATAAACTTGAATTGCATTTGCATCATTTGCAACATATAATTTTCCAGCCTAAAAATATAGAATGATTATTATTCTGTATTAGTTTTTATTTTTGAACAAAAAGACTATAATGAC